GGCCGTAGGCAGTGCCAGGCCTAAGAAGCAAGCTTGCAATTTTTCATTAAATATTTTGGGAACAGCGACAACAATCAAATTGGTTGGCCACGTCCCGTTGAGATCTCGAGTGGCGCATCAATTGCGCATCGAAATGTTTAAGCGTAAATTTCATAAAATGTACAAAATTTAGCATATTTCACCCTTGGCAGCTATGTAGTTCGAAACTGGCAATTGAATGTTACTAAATTGCATTTATATTTGGTATTTGATTACGCAATTGGAGTACTCGACACGCTCTTGAGTTCTTCTAATTTGCATAAACGTTTTCACGCTCAAGTGGAGCAGCCTTCTAATGGGATCAACGCCCAAGAAGGGTCTGTTCGAGTTTAACAACTACAAGAACAAGAGGGGCTAAGATTTATGTGACATACGACCTTAAACATACATATACATATACATATGTATGTATAGTTTACACATATCTCAAATTCAGATCTTGATCATTTGTGCATTATTGTCCAATTAATGTCAATTGGCTACGGCTACAAATGTTGATTCAAGCGCATGTTTTGATCTTATCGCTGGATTAGGATCTAAACAGTCGGATGTGTTGTGCGCTCTTTTCGATACGCGTACTTATTTATTTAGATATGTGTGCGTATGTTTGTATATATATATATATATATATGTGTGTGTGTGTGTGTGTTTCATGGTGCCGCTGATCACAGCTTGCAGATCGCTGATCGCTGATTGCAGATCGCAGATCGCAGATGCTTCCTGCCTTTCAGACATCATAACAAATGGCAGGCCAAGGGCAATTTGAAAAATTTTACTGGGGAGAACAAAGGCAAAATAGGGATTCAATATCTGTACTAACTCTGCCGAAGCGTAAAACAATATTCTCATTTACATATATATTCTCTGCATATGAGTAATCTTCTAAATTTAAAATCGCTTTAGTCTCTGAGATCCGTTTAATTAAATTCATTAATCCTGATCAAGTATGTATATATGTCTTATGGGGTCCGGCATGTATACTTCTTACTGTTATACATATTTGCACATGTTTTTATACACTTTTCACCCATTTTTAATAACATTTTTAATAAAAATAAAAGTGGATTTTATAAAGTTGTGATTTAGTTGAGTTTTGAATAAATTTTAAAAAGAAGATCTCGTTAAATTAGTTAATGAAATGCTTGAAGTGGAAAAATCTATGACTATTCTGTGAGCAATACTGCTCGAGCAGCCCTCGCTTGTGTCCAAAATCCACTGGCGACATCTGGCATCGTTTGAAATGATGCCAGAATTAAAATCCAAATTGCTCGCGTTGCAAATTGAATGGCCAACGTTTGTTTGTTTGTTTACTTTACTTGTTTTGGGTTTTTTATTTTGGCAAAAGCAAAAAAAAACAAAGCAAAACAAAACTAGGGCCCCACACAGAATACGCAAATCGGCGACGGCCTCACGTGACTCTCGAGTTGGGCCAAGGTGAGTATTATTATGGCAAACGCAATTGTTGCATAAATCATTTTGCCAATGCATTTTTGCATGGCTAAGCAAAGGTGATGTTTGGGGGTCAAGGGGGAAGCGGGAAGGGAGAAGGGAGCGGCAGACAACGCCAGGTGCATGTTTCATTCTGAGCTGTTTACGCTTGGACTCAATGAAACGTTATTAAGAACCGAATGCCTCGAACCGAACCCAATTGATTTGCATGGCAACACACACAATGTGGACCCTTGGACAGCTCGAGTCAAAGATCGAGCCAAAAACGAACGCATGCCCAGCCCGGCCCAGCCCAGTCCAACCCTCCTGCTCCCCTCTTCTCTCCTCCCCTCTACGCTTCTCTTCACTTGGCTAAAAACCGGCAACGGAAGCGCCTGATTAGGGGTTCCTACTGTGTTTGTTTATGTGTGCGAGTCCGTTTTGTTTTGTTTTGTTTTTCGTTCGTTTTTTTTTTTTTTGGTTTTTCATTTTTCATTCCGCTTGGTTTTTTGCGCTCGCGGCTAAGGCGTAGCCCAATCGCAATCCTGGGCTAGGGTTGCTTAGAAACGGTGCAGGATGCTTGCTTTCCTTCTGGGTTTGTTTGCATTTGTACAAAACAGGACACGCCAACGGATAGGCAAGGGGAGGCAGCGAACTTAGAGCGGTGCTTTTGTTTGTTTCGTGGCATGTTTTTTTACCTTTTTGGCTTGTAATTTATATATATTTTGTATATTGTATTGTATATATTATGCTATTGTATTTGCCGGCTATCAAAATACAAATTATATGCACTCAGGGGATCAGCGCATTCGACATGGCCGCATTATTGTTGTTGTTGTTGTTGTTGTTTTCGATACCCTGTAACCGTTGGGAATGTATGAAAGTGGGGTATAACAAATGGAGACTTGGCTAAAGCCATATAGTATTTTTATATATTTTGAGTCGAAAAAACGGTTTGTAAATAATGCATTAACAGTTTTATGACAATAATTGAATAAGAACATCGACATAATCATAGGGTATATCAAAGTCAATGTGAAGCAGTGCAATATGTTATGGTTTTCCTCGTTGTTTACTCTGTTTTAGATGCACTGTACGCGCCCAAGAGCCTTTGACCGTGTCTGATATACACAGTAACGCCTCCTTGTCTCGCTATACGCCAGTTTGCCCTCCCATACCCTTAGTCTTAGCACTACCCCTACCCCTATCAGAAGTGCTAGCACTGTTGCAGAACCATCAAACGGTTACGTGGAACGTTTTCAAGTTGCGGAAGCAATTGCGCGTGCTGAAGTTGTCGAATGCCTCGAATGCCTCGAATGCGAATTCTGGCTGCATAAAAGCATCTCTAGTGCACGACTCTCTGCCTGTGCAGCCTCCCTTGCCACCTCCTGCTCCTGCAGGACGCGGCCCGGCTCGGCTCGTTGGCGCATTTCAAAGCATCTTTCTGTTTGCCCAAGCGCTTTAAATTATTGCGTTCGAAAGCGTGTGAAACGCCGCACAGAACGAAGGGCGGCGCTGTTGCAAAGGTGAAAGCAAACATGGTTTAAACCAAGCGAAAATCTCTACCGATTTACCTTTGATTTATTGTATATATTGTACACAAACACACACACCACATTTTGCAAGCAAAGTTAAGCCACGGCTGACATTGAAGTAACTCCCTCAAGCGTGTCCAAGTTATTGTGCTTTATTTTATAGCTATGCCCAGAACCAAACCCCGACCCAAAACCCAAACACAAACCCCAACGCAAACACAATCCCAGGCCATAAGTAGCTTTCAATTTCAAGTGCCGTACCCGGCAAAGGGAGCAATCTTGGCCCGGCACACACCCAAGCCGATAGCGTCATTTGCTGGCACCAACAATGAATGCCCACAAATAAGGCAAATCAAGGCCAAACTAATTAAAGATTGCACAAGTTGATCGGACAAATGATTGAAAGACGGTTTCATGCCCAGGGTGTGTCCAAGACAAACACAATTTTTCACATTTCTTTCATTTTAGATTTGAGATAGAACTTTTCAATTAAGGCATTAGACAAGATGTGTCTTTAGCTTGAATTCCAAACAGGGAAAATGTTCCTAAAATAAGTAAGAAAATATTTTCTTTACAGAGCAGATCAACTTTTTTCAATTCTAAGATAAAAGTGCAAAAGTTAAAAATTAAACTTAAGAAAGTCATCTTAATGGAAATAAATAAGTAGAAGAAAAAACAGTTGACAAAACATTTCGAAGAATTATTAATTAGACGACTTTTTCCGAGCTTCGTCAAGACATCCTGAGCTAATAAAAAGTTGGTCAATCTTGAAACGATCTTTATACAATATACAATTAAGTGAAATGAAGGGGCAACTGTAACAATATACTTTTTGCATCAAAAATATGATTTAATACCAAGTTTCATCGAGATAAACTGAGAAATTATTCTTTAGGACTTGTACTAGGTTGTCTCATTTTAACAGTAAGCTCAATTAAAGTAATAGTAAGCCACAAAAAATGTAGTATTACTATAAACCAGGCTACGGTACACACCAAGCAATTAGCCTCTACCCAACTGCTTATCTTTACCTAAGTCGAAAAATCATAATTACTTGCACATAACTGTCGAGTACTTAATATAGCCGTATAGTTTACACATGCATTTTTCCTGGTATTCGGTACTCAGATTACTGAGGCTAATTGTTTTTGGATGTGTGCTGCTGCAAATGACGGTGCAATCTTGTTAAACTCGCGGCTAGACTTAAAAATCAATTATGGCTTCGCTGCTAAGCCGCGTTTATTGCACGCAAGGTGCTTCGAACAGGTAGAATACAAACACCTGTACGGGATTAGTATTGACCTTGTTGTTGCAAGACAGTACCTGAGTTACAAATTATTTTTATTAGCATTTCACAGAACAAAAGCAATAAACGTACAACTTGATGGACTTTTCCATAGAAAGCAATCGAACAACGACAACAACAACAACAACAAAGTGCAGCGCCCAAAATGAACACAACGAAAAGAAGAAGCTCCAAAGAGCTTGCGCTAACGAGCTTCATGCATACATATGTGTATGTGTGTTTGTGTGTGTGTGTATGTGGGTCTCTGTCTATGTGTGGGTGAGAGTAGAAGCACGCTGAGCCAAGCTTAACGCCCAAAGCTCTACAATTTAGTACTTAAAACAAAAGTGCGCTTTCATTGTGAGAATTTTTTTTAAAAAGATAAATAGCCAAAACGGTAGCTAAGAACAGGTGGAAATGGTGAGAATATGCAAAACACGCAAAGCAACAAAGTAATAAATAAAAACAGGTATACAACTAACAAATAAACAAACGCCAACAGTGACGCATGAGTGAGTCACGGTCACACACACACAGACAGAATGAAAGAGAGCAAGAGAGAGGACAGCGCCCCAAAGCAGACGGGCAGACATATCATGTAAATGTTAATGTTAAACGGCAGCAAACACAAACTTTGACTTTGGCGTGGCGGGTCACCGAATAGTGTAATAATTAGAATATAGAGACAGAGAGAGAGAGAAAGAGAGACTCACCCGTTGGCAGAATGGCATTGTTTTCGCGACGCCATGTGATGCTCGGTGTTGGATAACCGCTGGCATAGCACTCCATCTGCACCTCGCTGCCCTCACTGGCCACAATCGATTGTGTGGAATTATCGGAAATTACGGGTGGACGACGCACAGAGAGTTTCACATTGGCGCTAACTTTGTGCACCGTGGAGATGACCACCTGGCAGGTGTAGGTGCCCGCGTCTGTCTCTTGGATGTCCTTGATCTGTAGCTTGTACGTGGAAGAATTGGGATCGTAGCGCAGCGAGAAGCGTGAGTCTTTAATCACAAGCGTTGAGCCCGTGGAGAGGAAGACGGGATCCGAGTCTGTTTTGAGGAAGAGCACATTGTACTCCTTGGCATACTGTACCGAACAGTCGAACTCAACGGTGCCGCCGATGTCCTTGATCTGCTCCTGTGTTATATACGAAATTGTTGGCGTCCGTTGCGCCTCTGCGTGCGTGGCGAGTGCAACAAGCAGCAGCAGCAGCGCTGCCCACAAATCAATCTTAATCTTTAGCCACATTCTTAACGAACTTCTTTGCTAGTTTGTGCGTTTGAGTTCGTTTGTGTGTGTTTTGTAGATATAAAATAAATAATTTTTTGGCACCACACCCTACTATTAAATGCTACGTTGAGACGTGAGAAACGGCGACTGCAATGCTCAGTGTTAAACTTTTAACTGCCGAAGAAAAGCTGCGGCTGAGCTATTTGCGCTCTGCGTTCGCTGCTTTCGGAGAAGACACCAAATATACAGGTAGCTTTGACTCTTTCCGTTGCACGAGACGGCGCGGATGCTGTTTGCGAGACACACACTTGTCAGCTCGCTCTAAGCTGGTTTTCTTGACTTTCGGTATGTGCGCGCGCGCTCTCTCACTGCTGTATGTGTCTGCGTGTGTGAAAGCCCAGTTTAATAGGTATAAATATGTGTGAATACAAGAGTTACGAACTTGAGATGTCTACACGCTCTCACTGTTGCGACACGAATGATTCGAATGTTGCGCGCGGCAGCAGGCGCTTGCGTAAACGATATACCTAAGCGCAGTAATCGATAGAATGCAGCGATATATCCGAATTTGCATCATTGGCTGAACGCTGTTGCTCAATTCTGCGCTGCCAGCTTGCAAATGTTAACTAAAATTAGAAATACTGTTAACGCACCTTTGCCCACACCGATATATCGATAACGAGTGCGTGTTTAGCGCGTGCTTTGATTTTAAATTTGGCCATTAAATAAAGTACACTTTCCAGGTTTAGAATTGTTTAAAATGTATTTTTATTTACTTTTCTCTTTTTGTAATATTCTCCTTTATTCAGTGGTTAATTATGTATAGTTTCTATAAATGTCTGATTTTGTTTCGCCATCTTTCTGTGCTTTATGTATGCATTACGATTATATTGTATACCATTATTATGAATGCATATTATAAATTGATATTAATAATATAATTATGCAAATAGTATCGGCATGACACTATTTCAAGTTAAGTTTTAACATTGGATTCCTTGATCTCGTCTAACTTTTTTAAAAACTTTATGTAAATACTAAAATGAAACTCAGCTGTATGTATAACATAAAGTTCAATATCCAAAATATTGTGGAAACTTTGGAAAGTTCTCTAGTTTTAATCATCTTTTCATATTACACAATTTCACGTAGCTCTTGGCTAAAGATTTGCATTCTCTTCTTTTCATAATTAATATCGTATATCAACGTGTATTAATATTTATTGTATTGCTGCCTCTGGGAAAAAAATGACAGGAATCAGCATTTAGAATTTGATTTTAGGTTTTCAACAAGTTGCTAGTTCTAAGTACATAAATGTATATATATTTGTATTTGTATTATGTGTTTGATTTTCAATTTGTTAAAAATGTAATAAATAGTCGCACAACTTCATCGTGCAATAAAGCGCTTTTCAAAAAGAAATCGAATTGCAAATTACGATTCGTCGATCTTAAAATAAAATTCAAACGAGCGATTTTAACATGAGAGATTCAAGAGATTTGCGACTTCAAATGCAAGTCTTTCTTTTTTTTGCTTTTAATATAGATTTCAATTGCTGTCATATAAATAAATGTATGTACGTATATAAGTTTATATATATAGATAGATGTATATATATATATTTATGCCCGCCAAAGTATTCACCGCAAGGAAATAAATTATAATGTTAAAGATAGTGTAGACTAAAGTAGTCAATAAATAAATTGCTCTAAATCAACATGAGTTTTAAGATTAAAAAGCTAAGCGAGTGCAATCCACATTCATCCAATCTTTATAGACTATATATATATATATATGTATAAATATATATATAAAGATATCGTAGATCCACAATTTAGTTATTCTGGGAATTAAGACTCCATTGTGCAAACTGCTCCTGCCATTGGCTATTCGCATTTGCCTGCAAAATAAGGTCATTTCATTAATAGAAAAAATGTATAAAACGACTTAAAATGAATATATATATTTTGTACGTATATAGTATAAATATTATTCATATTTAAGTAGCTACCCAAACTCTACGCTTTGTGGCATGCAACATCAAAGAGTGGAAATAAAACAGATTGCAAATATAAATATATTTCAAGATACCACTACACAAGCTACATAATATATGTATGTATTGTTATATATTTCGTTGGGTTATAAATTGTGTGCATGTGAGACAACAAATACAAAAAGTAGAAAGAAAAAAAACAACAACAACGATAATAACATCAATAAGTAGTTAAGTAGAAGGATTTCATTGTGAAATCCTTTACCTTTTCATTCCATTCGGGATTATATGATTGAGATTCATCGAAATCTGAAATTGTATCAATATGCATAGGCATCAGTTATATTTATGACATATCCCACACAATGCACATCCTCTTTTGTTTTTGTTTATTGTCTTTAAGCGAGCAACCAACATATGAACAGTCTAAATATGCTCAGGTACGATTATAAGAGATGATATACATATATCTACTAGATACAACGAGTGTGGTCTATCCCAGAAATGTGCCACATGATCAATGAGAACAGAGACGAGAGACGATTCAGTGAACAGGAAAGGCAGCCAATTCATTTAAATATTCTAGCTAATCACCTTAAGCTGATCAAATATGGCTAGAGTCAAGGCAATATTCAGCGGCGTAGCCGAGAGACATTTTAATGGGCACTAAGCACTATAAATTATACAAATTCGAATATAAATAATACATTTTTAAAGATATAAGAGATTAAGCTTTAATTGAAGAAACTAATTCTCAAATATTCCATATAAGCACAATTAAGAGATATTAAAATCCATTTATTAATTTCATTAATTTTCAAATCCCTTAAATTGTTATCAGAATTTCCTTGAATATACGAGCAAATTTTTGATTATAAATTTTCAAATATATGATATTCCATAGAAGCAAAATTATGTGGCTTAAACAATTTTATTTTGGTAATTCGAAAGGAATACATTAATTTAATAAACAAAGATATAATAAATACTTTTTTCTGATAGATTTGACAAAACACACATTTTTCTATTGACTAAAGAAGAAAAATGATTATAGATTTGACAAATGTAGACAAAATAAAAATGTTGCAAATCGGATCCACTTGGGGATATCATATTTACTAACCAGAAACCCCAATTAAAAATGCCCCGCTACGCCACTAGATAAAGATTTGCATTTGATAATGGATCACCATGAATGGGGATGGATGTCAATAAAACAGAGAACTTAATTGCAGTTGTTGGTGTACAGTGAGAATCATCGACCTGAAGTGAATGCTGATGATGGGACTGACTGGCAACTACAACATTCGAGAGATGAACGATCTAAGAGAGGCATGTTAATTATATAGAGATAGAGAGTACATATATATGCATATATATTTTACCTGATTAACGCGTTAAGCTACAACTGTATTTGTATTTGTTATTTGTTTTTTTATATATTCAAACTATATTTCATAATGTAAGCGTGCATTATCAGCTGCAGTTCATCGATTGTCTCACCGATCTCGTGCAGTGCCGGAAAACCGGCCTCGTCATCATCGATGAAGAGTTCGGGATGGTAGCGATAGGCGAGTATGCGATTCAGCTGAGACTGCTCGTCGGTCTGCCCAAAATTATAGTCATATTGCACCGGCGAAAGCAGCATAGAATCATCATCATTGAGGGGAACAGCGGCAGTGGCGCCACCCTCGCACTCAAGATCCTCATCGGTGCGAAAGATCTCCTCGTACACCTGGCAATCGCAGTCACAATTGCAATCACAGTCGCAATCGCAATCGGATTCGCGGCCCTCGATGTGACGATACTCTTTGATTTAGTGTTCATAATTGTATTGAGATTGAGATTTAATTGTGGGTCGTGGTTGGATGGTGGTGCATACAAAAAACGATTAAAATTATAAGCAACTCAATATTTGCAGCATTTGCTCTTATGCCGTCTATTTGGGAAATAATCTATAAAAAAAAACAAACAAAGACACAAAAAACCAAATTTTTCTCTGGTGAACAATACAAAAATAAAATAGGAACAAGACAGTGGAGCACACACAAGGAGATATCTTGTTGAGGGCGGGGAGTGGTGGTGGGGGTGGTTTCGGGGCACACGACGTGGTCGGAGTCGGAGTCGGAGCCGGAGACGACATTGACTTACCCAATGGCATAATGAAACGTGCCTGCGCCAAGGAGCCGCTGGCTGCTTGTCCTGCAAAAACACAAGCCCAAGGCAAAAAGAGAGAGCGCGAGCGAGAGAGACAGAGACAGACGCAAAGAAAGCGCGAACACAGTTAAGCATATTCACAGAGAGAAAGTGAGAGAGAAAACATTCCATTTAATAAATGGGTGCAAAAGTGGAAGTGGCCGTTAGCTCTAGAAGCGTGGTAGTATCTGCAACTAATCGGGTGCCAGTTGTGGAAAACAAAATGAAAGTAGAAAACAATATATAAAAAACGAATAGCTCTAAAAGCCTTCACAAAACAAAGGTGCAAATTGCAGGTGCAACATCTAAATATCTATGCGGTGTATGTGTAATATTGCAAGCAACAAGTCAGCAGAATCAGTTGACAAGTTTGTCCTGGTTTGCGCTCTTACAGAGCCATCCCATCGAGCGAGAGCAGGGGAGAGCGAAAGCGAGGGGTGGTTGGTGGTGTGTGAACAGGTTCAGTAGTTTCAGTGGGGTTGCTGGGTTGCTGGGTTGCGCGAGAAACCTGCGATTTACCTGCATTCAGATCGCTGACCATCGTCGAAATGGCCGACGTTATGTTGTCGGCGGTTTCGTTCAGTTCGGCATCGGCTGTCGGATTAGCGTTGCACATGGGCGGTGGGGCTGTGTAGCCACATGGAATACATACATACATATATATAAAGCGAGACAGTTTTCTTTAAGGTGAACCGCGCACTGTGAACTGCACAGCAGATGCAGGCGTGTCACGAGTCACAAGGCACAAACAATTTTGGATTTGATTTGAATTTGGTAAGCCTGAAAAGTTCACAAAAGTATTCTCTTGCCGGAAAAATTACGTCAAGGATTGAACTCTTATCTGCTAGTAATTCATCATTTTACATTTAGTCTTTCGTATTTTGTTAATTAAACTTATCAGATTAAGACACAACAAAATTAATCACGACAAATAACAATTATTTGTATTAAATGAATCCAATACCAATTTGATGACTAGCTTACTTTCATAAACCAATTACTTAAAATGCATCATAATACATCATTATTATTAGATGCGGACCAGTCATCAAATTTGTGCTGGTCATCAGAATACAATACATTATTTCATTTCATTGTGAATTTGATGTAATTGATATATGAAATGAAGCCAGTAGCAATTTAATGACTAGTCTTCTTCCAAGTGTAGTGTAACAATTATTAGAATACTTTTAGGCTTAGTTATAGTATGTATCAAAGTAAACTTTAGTTGTCTCACGAGTGAGAGTTCGTGACACGCGAGCACCTCCGTTGTGAAGTGTGTGGTGGTCAAGTGGTAAGTGGACAGTGGTCAATTGCAGTGTATATGTGTGTCGGTGTGTTTGTGAAAGTGGTTGCGTGGCAGTGGCAGTGGCAGTGGCAGTGAGAGAGTAACAGTGAGCACAATGTTTTTAAGTTTTCTTCTTCTGCACCAAATAATTAGAGTGGAGAATACATTATTAGAGAGAGAGAGAGAGAGAGACCTAAGCTAACAACCAATTTGTGTTGAATGCAGCCAACCTAAATGAGTTCAACATGTTCACATAACCCCGGATCCCGTGCCCCGTCCCCAATGAGGGAACACCCCCAAATGCTGGCAATACTCACTTGCACTTCCATTGGCGGCAAAGGCGCTGCGCATATCGCTGCTTATCTGATTGAGCTGCTCCAGCTGGCTCTGGCTAAATGGACCATGGCCAAGACCAGGCGAGGATTGAGACTGCTGCTGTTGTTGCTGCTGCTGTTGTTGTTGTTGTTGTTGTGCCTGCATCAGTTGCTGCTGTGTGGAGCGCAGCATGGGATGCTGCTGCAACTGTTGCAACTGCTGGGCATGCAGTGCGCTCATCGGCGAGGTGCCCAAAACGCCACCGCCCCCGCCAGCAGGACCACATCCAGCACCAGCCCCACCACCACCAGCTCCACCTGGCATGGGCGGCGATTTGCCCGAGCGTGGACTGGAATTGGGCGTGGAGCGCGGCGAGGCAGTCTGCTGATTCTTGAGCATACGCATCAGGCCCTCCAGCTGCTCCATCAACTGCCGTCGCGAGTCCTGCAACGCACCCAGATGCCCCTCCAGTTCGCCCTTGCGCTGCCGCAGTGCGCGCAGCTCGTTGATCAGCGCAGGATTCTCCGGTGCCATCTGCTCAGTCTCCTGCTGGCGTCGCAGGCGCGCTATTTCACGCATAATCTCCTTGTTCTTGGACTCCAGCTGCGCAATCAGCTCCCGCTGCGCCCGCGAATTGTCCGTGCCAATGGGCGTGATGCTCTCCGCGTTGGGCATATTGGAGGGCTTCGCAAAAGGGCAAAACAAAATTATTAATATAAGATTTTTAGTGGACATCAAATTTAAATCATAAATAAACCTGAGCAGCCATTATATTTCTTAAAATAAAACCGAAAGAAAATAATACTTTTAAAGAATACTTTTCAATTTTATGTCTTCCTATTTATCTTCTTTTTTTTATAAATATTATTCATTTTTTGATATTTTATCTATATTTCCTCTTAGTTTGATTTTCATTTTAAGAGCTGATTGGGAATATTTTCAATTTATTTCACTCACAGCGCGATTCTCCTGGGCGAGTCGTGCGGCATAGCGGGCAATGAGCCGATGCTCTTCATCGTTGGCCGAGGCGGCAGCCACACGGGACATTGTGGTGTCCAGGCTGCGACCGGTGGCACGCGAATCCAGTGTGCTGGAGCGATCAAAGATGCCGCTATGACCTGGCCCGGGTCCGGGGCCGTGGAGATGGGCCAGCGCCGGATCGGAGAAGCCGTTGTGCGAGGGCAACGGCGAGGGTGGCACAATGTGCGACAGATTGAGAGTCTTTTCGGGCTGGTCGGGGAATCGTGGCAACACTTGCGTCGTCTTTTCGGGCACGCATCGGAAGCTCTTGCGCAAGGAGTGACCAATCTGTTTGCTGGGGGACTTGTAGCTCGAGTACTCCTTGACCTCGTGATCGTTTTGGTGGTTCAGCGATGTCTTGCCATGCCAAAAGCACTCCTGGCACAACTGGTAGGCGTGACAGCGCTGACAACGATAACGAAATCCAGTAAAGTTTTCCTTATGGCAAACAGAACAGATCGTCGGATGCACAATAGTCTCAACGGTGGCCAGCCGATGCAACAGCGGCAGCCACACGAGACACGATGGTCCCGGTTCGGACATAAGTGTTGCCATGAAATCGTTCACGGTGACCTTATTCTCGGCCGGAAAGATCTCCTCCTCCAGCCCCTCCTTATAATGGAATGTAGGCGACTCATAAACGGCCGCCGGCAGCGCTAATACCTCACGCAAAAACTCTCCCAACTTCCACGCCACCAGCTGACCAGCGCCATCCGAAATCTGTGAAAAGATATCTGAAAAAGAGCATGGAATTATTATCAAAAACCACTCAACTCGAAGAATAACTCCACTCACATCTGAGTTTATCCACCAGCTTGCCGGAGCACATGGTTGCCAACGCCACTTTAATGGAAAATACGCGTATCTTGCCAGAGTTGTCACTGTAATTTCAATTGGATAAGTATTATTATAATATTTGTATCTGATCCGAAGACTAAATCACCTGGTATAAGCAGCCAGCAGCCAATTGAGCAACAGACCAGCCTTCGAGTCCACGGGCACCTGTTGGGCCGTTGGCAAACGCTTATTCAGATTGTGATAGAGCGAGGAGACGAGCGTCTCCAGGCGAGCAACGCTCACATCGCTCTGCGGCTCGAGGGTGTTGAGGCCGTTTTCGCGAAACGCCTCGATCACATTCCAAATGTCGACCAGATGCAAGTTCGTTGACTTCTGTATATAGCGCAACTTGGAGGCGGTGCGATAGGAAGCAAAGCGTATCGAGTCGAAGGTCTGTAGACGCAGATCCTGCAATATGGCCACACGCGGCTCCAGCTCCATCATACCAAATACTCAGCAAAACGAGTTCAACTCTGCAAATAGATTACAAACATAGACGTTAACAACCAATAATTTGAGCATTGCAACTGGTTAACGCCCCCCCACATTTCACAGCATGTCTCTAATCAGCAGAGCAACAATAGTTTGTTGTTGCTCACATTGCACATCTCGATGTGACTCATTGACACCTCAGACACGAGCCTGGTCTGGCAACGTTCTCGTTTCGATTGGGTTTCGACAAGTGCAAGCATTGGTTTCCAACAAAATATTTGACTAAGAAATATCGTTTATAAATTTTATGACTTTTGTTCACTATTTTCAGAAGTGTACAGGAAAAATGTAATTTTTCCTCAGTTAATGTATATGTAAATGAGTAAATTTAACTAGAAGGATGTTAACAGGATACAAAGATTGAATAAGCAAAGACCAACAAAAACAGCAGACTTTCCTGTTTTATTCGATAGTTAAATGGAGGCTTTTTTCGATAGTTTGGGGCTACAATAGATAGTCCTTGTTAGCTTTTTTTTATCCTTATTTCCACTAAATTAAAGCTTTTCCTCGAACCTTATTAAGATTATTTTGAATAATATAATCAAATTTAACAGATATACCTTCATCCAAAAATGAGTTATGAGCAATTGCAAAGAGTGCAGAGGTTGTCCTATTCAAGTGGCGAGGAGTGTAATTGGCAATTTGGTTGATTATATTCAATATTGTTTCATATCGCTTTTGCTCTCTAGTATATCTTGATTAAATATAAACAAATTCCTCAAATATTTGCATGATGTCAATTTGTTCTTTTAATAGCTTCTTCCAGTTGAATTTGCGTCGTTTCTTAATCAGTATAGATTAGACCTAAAAGATGATTATCGAAGGCATAAATATCAACCACGAGCCGTCGTAAATTGAATTATTTTATGAACTACTCCTGCGGGACGACATAGGCCATGCTGGCTGCGAAGACTCAGCGAACATGTAATGGATTTTATGGGGCCCAAGGTTTGACGCCGCTTGCCACAACTTAATATGTGCGCTGTAAACATGCTGTGGGTGCTTACGAACATGTGTATACGGAATATTTAATTAACGCATAAATAATAATGCTTATGACAAAGCGAACACGCTCGCTGTCGCTCTCTGCTTCGCAGTGGCATTTGCAGAGCTAACTGGGTCATCAGCTGGAGGACAACAACGAGGACATTGTCGACAACATCATTCGCTTTTCTTCTCTTTTTCTTTTTTTTTCTGTTGCCATAAACATTCAGCCGCAAACACAGCCACAGCCACAGCGATTGGCAAAAGGAGCAGCTGCCTTCTAACCAATCCAGCAGATTTTCTCAACGATTGTCGGTGCTGGTGGGAACACGCTCTCGGTTTCAACTCCCCCAACATTTGCTCGACTTACAATTTTGCTCCCTAGTTCCGCTGCTGTCTGCTGCCATCCCGCCAACAATGGGTTCTCTGGTTTTTTATTACATATTCCATTGTCACGAGGCAGCAGCAGCAGTGGCAGTGGCAGCAGTGGCACCAGCAGCGTCTGTCTGGCGACGCACAGAGTCACAGAGCAACCCAGACGCAAATCGTGGCAATCTCCCTGAGCACCGCCACCGGAAGTGCAAGTGAGCAATCCAAAACAGTTCCCGCGCCACTCCCGTCGTAGCCACCACCCAAACACAAGCAAGTAAAAACAATGCGCGTTGATAAGCAATTTTATTAAACCGCTTGAATTCGAAATCATTTGTAATCCGCTTTGCAATACCAATTAATCGAAACGGATGCGAGAATAGGAATCGCAATGAGTTTCGGAAAATGGCCAATGTATAGAAGAGCTGCTTTACAAACTTTTCCCCTCTCTCTGTATATCCTTCTCTCCTTATCATTCTCTCGGGCCACACTTTGCTTGCTTATTTTCATTTGCTTTTGCTGCCCTGTTGGGAGCTGCACTTGTGCAGTTGTCGCAGGCCCTTGTCGCTAAAAGTGTCAGCCATTTATAATGTTTTTTGCTCTTGTTGCTGTTCTGATTCACACATCACAGGCCGAGTGGCAGGATATTATCCTGAATGAATGAGTGTGTGCAGCATAACTCATGTTTCCCAGCTGCCTAGCCATATTTTACACTGATTCCACCTTGCAAAAAATGTAGTCTATTTTATGCATTAGAAGAGTATTTGAAATTTGTCATGACATTTGCAACGTCTTAAAATAAAAACATTTTAAAATCTTCTTAAAATATATACATATATTATTTATATATATATTCTTTATAGATCAGTCAAGAGACCAGTTCTTTCTTAACAACTTTTTTTCCAAAACTCTTCAGTTATGTGTGCCCCTATCATTTTTAGATTTATTACGAGATTTAGATGTCGACAGCTTGATAACCAACGATAACAGTTATTTCGTGCTCATAGCTACATTTTGCTTTACGTTGACTTTTGACTGTCTATTAAATATATATATGAATGTTTTTTGAGTGGTTTCAAGAAACTTACTTTCCATTAGCAAACATGGCTAACTTGACTTAAAACTCGTATCGAATTATAACAGCTAAGCGAATCAGAACTGAAATCAACTTTCTTTATATTTCTACTAAAACTAAAACTGTTTTTTCTCTTTGGTAGAGTGCAGCTCAACATCGACCAAATTCTATTTTTGTCAACCGTTGCTCTTTCTGTGATATTTTCGTTATTTCAAATAGCAAATCATCTCGGTGAGGCATGTTTTAAGTCGTTTCCGCACCACAGTGCATTGCCCATCAGCATCATATGTGCTGTAGATGAGCGTTGTGAACGTGATGACGCATTCAGGACACAGAACCGAGTCCTGCATAAAAAGCGCGGCACAGCGGAAATGGCATCCGGCAGGCGGACGAACACTGGAGGACATTTAAAAACAGGATTCATTTAAATGCTGGCTGACTACTTATTTTAGCTGAGGCAGGCAGAAGCAGACAGAAGCTCACACAAAACGAGATGACAGTGGACCCCGCCCAGGACAGGACAGTTGCGGACAGAACAGGACAGAAGACAATATTATAGGCACATTACAGGGACACGATGCCAGCCAGCCAGCCAGCCAGCCAATCTGGCTGTCCAATGTTGAATTCAATTTCGAAACGTCGAAGTCCCAAATGACAAACGCTGATGAGGACGACGATGACGATGCTGTGCTATGACTCATAAGCTACTCCTGCTGGACAAACTGAAGCGACAAGCGTGCCCCAGGATATACATACAAGCATGTGTATATATTTGTGTAGCTGCACATTGTACATTGAAATAAATATGCACATACCGATTGACCGGGCAGATGTGGGCCAGCTAAACAGCATAACACACACATGCGTTGCGAAAAAGAGATGGAGCGACGGAGAGGGAGAGAGACGGAGAGAGAGAGAGAGAGAGAGAGACAGAGAGAGAGCTGCCTGCATCTTGGATTCCAAACTGAATGAAGGACGAATAAAGCAGCGACGGGCTGTGTAAACATTTGCGCACAAAAGTATGCAACGAGACCTGCCTGAATAATTCGAGTTTGGCAACGAGGACGCATTGCGCACTGTCTGCAGCAGGGTGCACACTGTGAGGGGCGAGGCGAGGGGAGACGCAAAGGGAGCCAGCGAGCGGGGGTCGCATCGCCAACTGGGCCCAGAGCGACGGCATTCAGCACTTCTCTGTGTGTGTGTGTGTACTTCAAGTGGCCAGCTCAGACTGTGGTTGATATTGGCTCTTTCAGTGTCAAAAATATAAAGAACAAAAAAGACACGCAGCAGATTTTATACGCTTGTAGATCGCAGTCAAAATGACGTCAGCTAAATTGTAGTAAATATTCTAAAAAACGACCGATTGTACCTATGAAAGCTATATGTTAAGAGAATAATAACACTTGTTAATAAAAATAAAAACAGTTTGTTATACAAGCACGCATCTTTCCAGCGATCGTTCCAAAGTCAGCTTTATGATATAGTAATGCAATCCGGTTGGATCAGATATATGTGCTGCCTGCATCAAATGGCCAAGTCAAGTCAAAATAGCTTTAACTGAGACAAGTTTGCATAGAAACCGAAACTGGATCACGGCAATATCGACTCGACCAGTCATTCCGATCAGGAATATATATATCTTATTGACCAATTTCAACTGAAAAACGTATTTCAAAATGTAATCTACTTGCTAAAGCACTATCAAAAATAAGGATAGTTTTGGAGAATCGGTTCAGTTGCGGTTCCACATTGCTCCACTGTGCAAATCTCGTTGCTGAATGTCTGCTGCAAGTTGTTGAGTTGCATTGGGTTTTGGGGTCTCCCACAAGGCTGACCGCTTGTTTGCCCCTTTGCATTTGTGTCATCCCGAGATTTCTGGCACCAAAAAAGAGCTCGCAAAATAAAAATATATGTACAGATATATATATATATATATATATATATATATATATATATATTGTAATTGCAATGGCGAAATGTTCGCTTATAGCGGGTTTGCCAGTTTCCGCAGCTGCTTTTGGTTTCAGTTCGGCTCTTGATATATTCGTGGAGCAAATGTTGAAAGCTTGTTGCTTGACAACCGCACTGCAAAAACTATAGCGATCATAAATAAATGAGTCGAGTTTTCCGATATTTGCTCATATTTAAATATAGCACATTGAGAAACGGAAACTTGGCCAACGCAAAAGTTTTGCGCGATGTGTTACAAAACTTTGATTAAACCAAATGTTCAACTTTGCCCATCAGCGAATGCCAACAGCATATTTAATCTTTCCAAACGGGGTCAGGTTACTAAACTGAGACAGCGGCACCGAGGGAGGGATAGAGATGGAGATAGAAAGAGAGAGAGAGAGAGAGAGAGAGAGAGAAAGAGAGAGAGTGGAGGTTGAGTACTTTGGCAGAAGGCAATGCGTACATTGAGTTTACGGCACGATTCCCTAATGAAAGACACACGTGACTTTCAAACAACATAGTTTTGGAGATAGTTGAAAGGCTTTTCCGCACTTATTCTGTACTAGTTCGCACATTTATAAGTAAGCCCAGGTGAACTGA